TCCATCTTTCTGTGCACTAGCAGAATGCAATTACTGGTCTAGCTTTTGTATATTTATGGAGTACACAGTGCAAAAAATGTTGGTTTATATATGAAAAAAAAAAAAAACAACAATTGCAACAGTTTGTTCGTCGAAAGAAAAGTCACTGGTTCAAAGCCATCAACATGCTTACTATTTTATTTTATGTTATTTTTATTTAATTTAATTTATTTGTATATCTTTTATTACTTTACAAATATTACTTATTTTAATTTACTTTACGTGCTCTACTTTATTTTAGTTATTTTATTTATTTGCTTAATATTATTTATTTATTTTATAACAAAAACCGAGTAAGAACTGGGCAATGCCGGGTAATTTATGTAACATCGCTTGCATTCAATATTAAATAATATATTGCGGAAAACTTTGAAAATCGAATTTGATATAAAATGGGTACTCGAACCGCACCCCTTGCCCCGGCCTTTGCTGAGCGAACTGGTCGAGCATTTGCCGGGGCTTCAATTGAAAGCCAAAAAAAAAAAAAAAAAAGAATGAAATTAAGCAAGATTCTTATTGTTATTTTTATTTTTCACTGTGCAGCCGAGCATAGATTTAGCTCCAGCTCTAGCTCCATATGCATGTATATTTATAAGGCAAGTACTCAGGGTTCTGTGCGTGTGTGTGTGTGTATGGGAGCTAAATCAGAGACGCTGGCAAACAGCAATTATGGCCGTGGCAACAACAGCAACATTATGTTGCACTTGAGACACGGTTTGGGCCACGTTCTGTACGCTTTGGTTTTGTTCTTTTCGACTCTTGTCGTCGCTGTGCCCATCTACATCTCTCGTGTGGCATGCCCTTGCCAAGAATCGTGTTGCCAGTTGTTGTTGTTGTTGTTGTTGTTGCTGCTGCTGCCTGGTTTACTGGTTCTACCACTTTTTGTTTGCCGCTTGTTGCCTTGACTTTGCCTTTGCCTTTGCCTTTGCTTTTGTGCCTTGCGCTTTGGCCAAATGGCCGCATGAGGAGCAACGCCCAAAGTCAACTTGGGCTTGTGTACACACACGCTGCGCGAAACGGCACAAAACCCAGCTCCAGACCCTGCCCCATCATCATCATCATCATCATCATTATCATCATCATTATTATCATCAACAACATTTTCATGATGTGCTTCAGCTAGCTGCAAGTTTTCTGCTACCTTTGCTAGAGCTACCTATCTTTGGCCTTTTGCTGCTTCCACTTCCACTTCTGATGTTGCTGCCGCTGCTGCTGATGTTGCTGCTGCTGCGGCTGTTGCTTCAACTTCATCTTCTTTTCTCATTTGTTTTACTGCCCATTCGAGAGCTGCTCTCAACTTGTACTTTTGCTTGGGCTCACAAAAGAGATTTGTGGCTTAGGCGCTGGAGCACATTGTTATATAATTTGCCCATTGCCAACTTTAACTAACTTTATATATATATATATATATATAAATACATATGCCCGTCTTGGTGTGTGTGTGTGTGTGTGCGTGTGTGCGCTCAACTGTGTGAAGTTCTTGGCCGCTAACCGCTAAGGCAGAGCCCACTGAGCCAGTGAGTCAGGCCCGTAATGCAAGGCCTGCACAGAAGGAACGTTAACAACTAACCAACTGTGTGTGTGTGTGTGTGCGCGCGCGCGTGTGTGTGTGTGTGGCTTGCCACAGGGCGGCTCAGGTTAAATAAAAATTAAGGCATTTGCCATAACAAATAATTATAACAGTAATAAGTTTGGCGGCTTCAATCAGTTGAAAAAATTATAAAGAATAATTTAAAATTGTTCAGAAATTGAAAGGTTTCAGAAGGGACCTTTGGCTTTTATGCAGCAAAACAAAAGTTTATTATATTTATGTTAGATTCTTTTAAATAAAAGCGAATAAATGAAATTAAATATTATTAAGAAATTCTGTTGAATTGACAGGCTTAAAGCCTGTTACAGTACACAAATTCGGTGTTATCACCTTTTCTTAATAACTTTCTTTTTCTTTTTTGAGGTGTAAAAGATTTACCCTTTGTTTTTGTTTTTTGTACAAATAAATATGTATATTATTTTGTATTTTTTTTCTTTCTATTTTTCTCTGTATCTTTTTTTTTGCAATTTAACTTTTGTTGGCTTTTTTCTTTGCATTTTATTTGGTTGATAGCCTTTGTGATTTGGTTAAAGAACACCCAACTCAAGTTTCAGCTTCTATATTATGGCTGATCTTTAGCTCTCTGCCTGCACACACACACACACATACACACACACATACAGTGCTGTTTGGTGGCTGCGTGTGATTTAAGCTGCGGTTGGGTTCCACAACACAACGACGAGCAATTTCCACTTCCACATCCACTTCCACAGCACTTGCCACGCCACTTCACTTCACATCACTTTAGCTGCCCCCAGCCCACCGCAACACAGCATGCCCCTCTTACACCGCACTTCAGTTCGCCGCAGTCTATAGCAATAGCATGCCATATAATATTCCACTCTATTCCATTCTATTTTATGCACTCCATTCTATGCTATTCGGTTTATTATACTTATTCCTACATGTAATTATGATATTTTTGCGCAAAGAAAAAAAAAAAAAAAAGACAAAGGGCAGTTAAGACGCAGACGATGTGAAACAAAAGACTTAGGCAGCGAACTTGACAGCGAACTTCATGCACACACACACAACAAAAATATAGGAAAATAAAACTAAAACTGGCAGCAAAACGAAAAATAGATAAATAAATAAAAAAAATATATATATAAATAAAAAGAAGAAACATCTGCGTCAAAATTCACTTTCAAGATATTTATAAATTCTGTTTAGTCGCAAAAAGAAAGTTATGCGTTTCGAATATATTGATATGTCGTCTGTTATATGTTTATATATATGTGTGTGTGTGTATATGTGTGTGTAAATATTAATTTGTATTAATCTTGGAGTCATGGTCAAGGGTGAAGCGCGGCTACGAAATGACTTAATAAGCCGCCCCGGCGATTATATAAGACGCCAAATAGATGGGCCAGAATGAACTGAACTGTATAAATTGTGGCTTGTTGTTGCTGCTGCTGCTGCTGCTTGCTTTTCGTTTCTGTTTGGCAATTCAATGAAAGTGATTGATGTTGGCCAAAAGATTCGGCGTAGAATCTAAACAGAAATATAAAAATCAAGCCAAGGGTCGTGTCGTGTGGGCGTCAACAAATGTTCGAGACGCTCAACGCTCGACGCTGCCTAATTTGCTGTTGTTCTTATTGTTGTTGCTGTTGTTGTTGTTATTTGGCTTGAAGCTCTGGATTGGTAGCTTTTTTGCTAGCACAGTGTGCTGTAGACTGTAGACTGTAGATAGCCATCAGCATTTGTCTTGACTGATTTGTAGCTATTATATGGTCATAAGCATTTATTTGCCTGTCAGCTTTTTGTTTTCTTTGTAATGAGCTGGAAGTGTAACAAATGCGCAGGAAATGTGTTTGTCCTTAAGGCACAGCCCAGCACGCCAAAGATTTTCAATTGTAACACAGCATAGAATAGTTACCTAACAGCTCGATGCTATCTAAAGTTCGTAGAAGTCCAAATGCAATACGAAAACATGCAAAATAATCGTCGAAAAGGAGCAGAGCTCAGCATAGAGCCAACTTAGGTGTAATGAGAAGATTGTAGGGAATACAAGAGGTATATTAACAGACTTAATCAATTTGTTTTGAGAGAAGTTTCTCGAAAAGGGGCTCAACTGGGATTATATTATGGGCAAATCTGTGATCTAATATAATGTTTACATAGATAGATAGATGGATCGGTAGATATATAGATAGATATAGGGCTGTTGAGATATTTGCATAGACAAATAGATATTTGGATAGAGAGATTGATAGAAATAGTACATTTAAAAAAATATAAATAAAAGCACGATTTATTATGCTCTGGAGAAAATAAATTGCATTTCCTTTTAATATATAGAACAAAACTTGACGAAATCTGTTTCATAACAAGATTTTCTAATCTGGAAAAAATCGATTGAACTAGCCTTAAATTTCACGAAAATAGAAAGATTTGTTATAGGCGTAATAAAATATATACTCAAGGAGAGTATTAACAATTTTCTTATTTATTTCCGCTCAATATAAAATATTCCAAATAGGCAGCAAAATGTGTGTCTATATGAGGAATGTCTTAAAATATATGTGACAGGTGCCGAGTTCTGGGAATTCTAGTTGATAAAAATACCTCTCGTTATTTAACAATTTATTGCAGAACAAAAAATAAAAAAAAAACCAATTAATGTAAAGACTGAGAATCAATAAAATTTTACAGCTAAAACTTATTTTTGCCTCAGAAAAAAATGATATTTCAGTTTCTTTTGTTTTTAAGTTCTTATCAAAGATTTTTTTTACAATGAAAACTAAACTTTGATCGCTTGAAAATTATAATTTTTCAATTAAAAATAAAAAAAGCCTTTTCATGCTTTCAATTTGTGTTTCATGTCGTTAAATTGATTTCCAGCACAAAATTGAGACATAAATTTGAATTGGAAATATCGAAACCTGCCGAGAGAGAACACCCAAGCAACAATGGATAGGTACTCAGGGGCGGAACACCCAAATTTCTATGGCTCAAACAAATTTCAATTCAATAAGGTTTTTCTATAGCAAATGCCAAAAATAATCGAAATTTAGCTGATTTAAGACAAAGAACTCTTTTGAACACGAACAGAACATAAAAAAAACAACATGAAACCAATCTCAAATTTTAGTTAAAATTGAAGAAAGTTACAAAAAAAATCGTTTTTCCCTTAAAAGTTTTTGTTTTCTTTCAATTATGTCTTTTGTTTGATTTTTTTTATGTGCATTCTTTTGTGCATGTTATTTGAGCAGATTTGCATAGGACTCATAAAATGGTGCGCAGCAAATTACTTAGGCAACGAACTGAGCTGAATGTTTGCCAAGTTTGTTGCCTAAGTCATTTGTTTTTATTGCAGCGATTTTAACAGCTTTTCGGATCTGTTGCGGCTGGCGGGATATCAACTTACCATTTTGAACTTGCTCGGGCGTCGCTGGCGACTTGCTGCTGCTGCTGCTGATATCGGCATTCGGATTGAGATTGGAATTTGTGCCGGATTCCTGGGCCAGCTCGAGACTATGTCGCGTTTGGCCAAAATAATGACGTCGATGATGGAAACGTTTGCGCGTCGATGCCGCCGCTGTCAGGCTGAGCGGTTGCTCCTGCTCCGCCGCCTGGGCCTGACCCTCCGGCTCCGGTTCCGGTGCCGGAACGGGCGACGGCGCCGGCGCAGGCGCGGGCGTTGGTGTCGGCGTCCGTGATGGCGGCGCCTGCTCGCGACTCGATGCGCCGGCGCTGGGACTCAGCGGCGGCACCAGGCAACGTTCATCGTCCTGCGCTTTGTGCTGCAGCAGATTCTGGGATTCGAGCAGGCGCTGCTGCTGCTGGTGCAGCCGATTTTTAATCAAAAAGATTTTCGGCATTTTTGCGGGCTAATTAGTTAATGTTGTTGTTGTTGTTGTTGTTGTTGTTTTTGGTTGTTATTATTTGTTTGTTAACACACGCGCGCGCGTACACACATACACACACAGACACATACACATGCACATACACAAGCACACACAGGCACAGTAAACAAAACACTAATCCAAGTGCGTGTCTGTTTAACACTGTGTGTGGCTGCTGCAGTTGTTGTTGCTGTCGTTGTTGTTGTTGTTCTGCCAACTCTTGTGCTTCTTCTTGTTTTTAACAGTTAAGCGATTGGTGAAAAAAAAAAAATTTTTAGATTTTATATATATATTTTTGTATATAAATATATAAATCCGGTGTTATTCGTGGTTGTTGTTGAGCTCGGCTCAGTTTATTTTTTTGTGTTTCTTCATCATTTCCAGAGTTTGGATTAATGCCGTTTTAATCTTGCATATATGCTATATATATATATTTCCAGATTTATGTATATATAGCGCACTTTGAAAAACAAAACAAAAATTTCTCAAATAAATCGAATTTATTTCTCATTTGCCATTTAAATTAACTGTTATATGTTTATAATTCTTTCAATTTTTGGCAGCTTTTCAGTTTTGCATTTTTTTTCTTCTGTTTTTTATTTTAATTTAATTAATATTTTATTTATTTATTTTTTGTAACGCGTTTTTGTTCTGCGTGTAACCGTTGTTTTTTTTCTACTCTTTTTTTTTTTTTTGTTTTTGCCAAAGTTGTGTGTTGGCTGTGGCAGGTTCTGCTGTCCAGCGACAAAACACGTGCATTCACAACGCCGGCTCGCCTCTTACTGTATTCAAGCGGTGCCAGCCGCTGAGCAGTTAGGCCAAAGTCAAGCAATACCGCTGCGCAGCGACGCGACGCAGCAGCGGCAGCAACGGCAGCAACGGCAGCAGCGAAGGTAGCGACAGCGGCTACAACAAACTCAGTTAGTTTTAGAGGCGAATTCAGGCGACGAACGCAAAACACCGTAAGCCGTGCTTCACACACACACACACACACACAAACACACACACACACACACACACACACAGAGCGAGAGAGAGAGAGAGCTCACGCTCGCTCAAGTTCGCTTTCGTCTGTGAGTCAGGGCGAAGATACACGCTTCGGCTGCGTCTTCGGCTCGGCTCGCGTTTTTGCTGCTGCTGCTGATGTTGCTGTTGCTGTTGCTGCCTCTTGTAACTGTGCACGGTGAACGGTTTTCAGCGGCTGAGCACCTGAGCTGCCCGACGTCGCTGCCGAGGATCGAGAGAGAGTGAGAGTGTTTTCGACTGCGTCTGCTGCGGCTGCCGCTGCCGCTGCCGCTGCTGCTGCTGTTGCTGCTGCTGCTGGTGTTGCTGTTGCTGCCTTTGCTTCATTTCGCTCACATAACGTTTCTCATGCAGTTTTTTTTTTCGCTGCGTCTCTTCTTTTTTTGTTTTTTTAATTCGCCGCCATGTGTGTGTGTGTGTGTGTGTGTTTTTCTTGTTGGTTCAGAGTCAAGGTAGAGGTAATGTTTTATCGTCGCTGGCGTCGCTGCTGCCGTTCTTGTTGTTGTTGTTGTTGTTGCTGCTGCTTTTGCCTGTTGCTCGCTTTGGCCGCCGCCGTCGTCGCCGTCGTCGTCGTCGTCGTCGTTGCTTTGGCCATTTGCCGGTTGGGATGTTTTACTCGTTTTGTGTGTTTGCGTTTGGCTTGTACTTGTTGTACTTGTTGTACTTAGATCTGCTTAAAGCTGTTGTTCTTGTTGTTGTTGTTGTTGCTTTTGTTGCTGTTTTTGTTGTTGCTATTATTGTTATGTGTTTGGTCTTGACTCTGAACTGAGCATTTGGCTGCAAATGATATGGCATAAAGAAAAAATTATAATAATTTTCAAAGATTTTACAAGCGTGTAAATGCCCAAAATGTGGCTAAAGATTTGGCAAAGACATGTACAGATATGCAGGCATATGTATATATGGGATATATACGGATATATTATCCATTCTAGATATATCACTGATTATAATAATAATAATAAAAATATAAATACAAAAATGATAATAATAAAGCTAATAATGATAATAGTATGCATAATAATAATGATAATAAATTAATTATTAAAATAATAGTTATATTAAACATATTATCATTAATGAAAATCTTAAAGTGAATAACAATAAGAAAAATGGCAATTGAATAATAAAAATAACCACAATAAAAGCAACAATAATAACAACAATAATATAAATAATGATAATAATAGTAATAATATTATTATTTAAATTAATGAGAATATAATATTGGAATATACTCGCTTGCATATTATTACTCTAACGAAATAATAATGTTCAACTAAAGCTAAAATATGTATTTAAGCTAATATATAAATTAATTTAAATAATGAATAAAAAGCTAGATTATTATGTACACAAATGATAAACTATCTAATGAATATATATGCTTTCGCTTCTTAGTACTTTCTCAATTTGCTTGCTTTCGCTTTTAGAAATTTTTGAATATTGCAATTTCAAAAAAAAAAATACTAGAAGAATTTAATCAGATTTTTTTTTTTTAATGTTTTATTGTTATTGACACTTGTGAGCTCTGTTGAACGATTAAACAACATTATTAAATTCCCTGCACAATTACAGAGTTAAATGCGTTCACTTTGCCGTTCAGATATCAAGTATTTTAATTGCAGAGCAAAAGTTTAACGTTTGTTTGTCATTAGATTAGACAAGGGCTACTTTGTTATAGAGCAAAACTGTATTTTCTGGCCAAGTAAATGTTGTTGTTGTTGTCGTTAGCGCTTACATTACTGTAGACGAGAGATAATATATATAGTGTTATATTTGATAGACTTTACGCAAAATTACCAATTTTTTAATAAACTGTTGTTTATTGCGATCTTAAGCACGGTATAGCAAGTTTGTAGCCTAAGTCTTTTGTTAGCGCCTCAGATTTGCATTGAAGTCTTTAATATGTACATAAGTATATCTGCATGCGTACAACATTTGCGGCCTGACCAAAGTCTCTTTTCATCAGACCCTTTAAGAATTTCATTTCAACATTATCAACAGCAGTTTATGTGTGTGTGTACGTGTGTGTGTGTGTTCGGATGTGTGTGTGTGTGTAACTACGAAGACGCGTAGATACGCAAGAAGTACAAGAACAGAACGTCAATAAGTACCATATAAGCGAAATTAAACGGCAAAATAGTTGGCAACGCGCCTCGCACTCGCTGTCTACATATAGGTGTGTATGTACACGCATGTGTGTGTGTGTGTGTGTGTGTGCGCTTGTACGTGTGTGGGCAATAAAATGAAGAAGCAGCGGCGTTGTCGGCTTGTAATGAGCGCTTAGAACGCGCTTAGAATGGCAATAAGATTGCGGCGAGAATCGCCGTCGCCGTCGTCGTCGTCGTCGACGTCGTCAACGGCGCACGTATCAACGTTGACTCTCTCGCTCACGCTTTGCCGCCCGCTCTCTCGCTCTTCGATGCCGCCTCTCGCTCTGGCGCACACGAGTGCGAGGGCAACGGCAACTAACGTTATTTCACACACTTTGCTCGCGCGTTTGCGTGTGTGTGTGTGTGTGTGTGCGCGCTTGGCTGGGCCCGTGTGATGTAAGCGCTGCAAACGGAGCGAATTCGCCGCAGCCAGCGCGCACACCTGTGTGTCACACACACACACACACACACATGCGTACACAAACAGGCAAGCAGCGCGGCGACGTAACAAATTTACAGCTAGCTTTGTAGCTGTGTGCGCCAAACATGCGGCGCAGAGAGAGAGAGAGAGAGAGAGAGAGAGAAAGAGAGCGAGCGGGAGAGCAAAAGACAGCAAGAGAGCGCAAATAATCAAATACCTGTTAGCAGTGGCTTTGACTGTGACTCTGACTTTGGCGACGAGGCGGCAGCAGCAGTGGCAGCGCCAGTAGCAGAGGCAGAGGCAGAGGCAGCGCCGGTGCAGCGTTTTTAGCTGCGCGCGCTTCTTAACTAATTGTTGTTCTTGCTCTTGTTGTTGCTGTTGCTGTTGTTGTTGTTCCTGCGCCAACTTCACTCTCACTCAAATGCCGCTGCTAACCAAATGCAAGTGCTCTGCCCTTTGCAAGCCAGCAGCAACAGAGACAACAACAACAGCAACAACAAGAGCAGCAGAAGCAGCAGCAAGTGAAAAATCCTGCTGGCTAAGATTTTTTTTTCTTATAGAATTAGTTTGATTTCAAGGCGTTTGATTGGTTTTTACGCGTTTGACTTAACGCTAGGTTAAAGCTTTATTTAATTTTTATTAATTATTAATAAAAATATTTTATTTTAATTATTGCATCTGTGCATCTAGAATTTAGATTTGATTAATCTAAGAATTTGTAATTAATTGTTCTCTCTTCAGTTTCGATTTTTGTGTAAAATTACCTTCTCCATTCATTTAGAAGCTTTGTCTAATTACTCTCTCTTCATTTAAGATTATGGACTTTATGTAATCTCGAGTTTAACTTGCCAATATTGAAACATTTATATACTTTCTGAGACTATTTCTAGGATCTTTCTTAGTTTTTCTGGAGATTCTTGACTAGAATCTAGATCTAGACTATTTGCCGAAACCGCTCGAGGGGTTGTTTCCAATGAGACTTGGTTCATTTTCGCTCTGTTTTCTCTAAAATTTTCTTTAAATATAAATATTTTTTAAGGAATTTTGAATATTTATATTGATAATATTCTTCTTATAATATTAACCCATAGATTAAATGCTCTTAT